GAGGGCCACGAAAATGATCAGGGGGATGGAACACCTCTCCTCTGAAGAAAGGCTGAGAGAGTTGGGGTTGTTCAGCCTCGAGAAGAGAAGGCTCCAGGGCGACCTTATTGAGGCCTTTCAGTACTTAAAGGGGGCTTATAAAAAAGATGGCAGCAAACTTTTTAGCAGGGCCTGTTGCAACGGGACAAGGGGGAATGGCTTTAAACTAAAGGGGGGGTAGATTTAGACTAGATAGAAGACCTTTTTTATGCCAAGGGTGGTGAAACACTGGAAGAGGTTGCCCAGAGAGGTGGTGGATGCCCCATCCCTGGAAACATTCAAGGTCAGGTTGGACAGGGCTCTGAGCAACCTGATCTAGTTGAAGATGTCCCTGCCCATGGCAGTGGGGTTGGACTAGATGACCTTTAGAGGTCCCTTCCAACCCAAACTATTCTATGATTCTATGATCACAAGGATTTTACACTTAAAAATACTCACTCACACACAAACAAAAATTCTTATACAATCAGTTAACTATCACAGTGGCCAAGAAGACTATGCAAAAGAAGCCATCAGATTTGTGAGAGCCCTTCAGCATGACAGAACAACCACGAAGGAGGTGTCAGGAAGACATTCTCACTTTGGCCATCCCTACGGAGCTTGCGTTCAGTTCAGGGATGCCCTGGTTTGTCTTATCACCACGTTCCCAAATTCCATAATCCTGCAACAACAACATCATCAAGAAAAAACTGGCATGATTATATACAAAAACAGTGTTTTCCCCCCTCGCCCCACAACAAAACCAGACCCCTGCATAAAATTAGTTTATTTGCCTTAAAAAAAAAAAAGAAAAGAAAAAAAGGCTCCAAGTCTCCAAAGAGCCCCTCCTCATGTTTAAAGAGCAGCACATAAAAATATAGCCCAGCAGGATCAGGTCTACAATCATGAATCACTGTCTTCACAAAGCCCGTTATCCTTCCCCCTGTGCCTGCCTCTCCCTGTGCCCTTTCAACTCATCACTTTCCAAAAAGTTTATTAACACTTTGCTCTTTTTAGAAAGGCCCATAAGATTTTAATAAGACATCACAAAATATTATTCATTATCAATAAAGAAAAACTATTATTATGATAGAACAAATATACCTCACCCAGGCAGCAGTAAATCCTCCACAGCCCACCCACCATCTCCAAAGACACTGCTCACAATGTAAAGTACTGACAGGTTCTGATATCTTCTCATGGAAAAAGAAGTCTGTATTTTCCTTCTCCATCAATAAATAATTTTCCACCCACACCTGAGCAGTGTTCAGGTGATTTACATATAAATAACTACTTACCGCAACTTTGTAGGCAGCTTCTATGTAAAAAACAAGATTCTGAATAAAGGTAACTTCATCGAGGGTGAAGATAATACGTAACCCTGATTAAAAGAAGGGAAAAGAGTAATTATACTGTATCAGAACTGAAATATTTACTCTTCAATGAGTTTCATGCTTTTGTTTATTTGCTACCAACTACTGCCCACTGAAGTCAATGGAAAAACTCATGCTGATTTCAAAAGATCAGGCAGCAAGCCTCAATACTTGCTGCTGATAAAATACTTCAAATGCCACCAATACATACTGTTTCAAAGACCAACCAAAAACCACCCCTGGGAGGGTGGCATTCAGACACGGTGGGTGCAAAGCAGAGACAGCTGAACCAGCTCTGGCTCTCGAGAGCAGTGCATCCCAATTCCTGCAGCTCCCCACCCCTCCACCCGCTTAGTGCTCTATCGAGGGACCACCAGGACAACCAGGAGCCAGCTCTGCAGGCGTCAATTGCAGGGGGCTCTGAGGACAGAAAAAACACATTAAGGAAACAAATTCTTATCCTCACAGGAGGAGTAGAGTTGAGAAGAGCACAAAATAAAACAGTGCCAGCAAGAAGAGGAACACAGACAGGACTAGTGGCACCTGACTCGATGTCGCCACTCTGAAGAAACCTGGTTGTCCATTAGGACACCCTATGTACTCTTCAAACATGAAACTCTTCTCTGACATGACTCTGAATATCTCATGTATTTGTACACCAACAAACATTAAGGGAATGGACACTGCCCAGGCAGTTACTATAAACATGAAATTCTAACTAAGCCATATCTCTTTTCCAGAGAAATATTACTTTCTTCTGAGTAATAACTATGTAAAGGTCTTTGAAGCTAGCTACAACTTTTTTTTTCTTTTTAAATAAGAGCTAGAATAGAAAAAGACTGCAACAACAGTCAAGTCTAAAGTATCTTCTGCTCACCTGATGCAGTCATCTGTGCCAAGAAGAGCAGGTAAAGGGAAGTTGCATCCACTTGCAGATGCCCCCACTGGTCATCCCCAACCACCGTGGCACAAGTAGCAGAGTTATACTTGGCATGTAGGCAGTCTTTGGTACTCTGCGTGCGTTTGAACTTCTCTACCTTATCTACCTAAAAAACACCACAACTTTCAAATATGAAACATTTAGGAAGAAATTCTCCAAACTATTGCAAAATTAACACCTTTTCTTAGGTGAGGAGAAACTTGAGGTCCTAATTTTTGTTACCTCACTTCAGTGTGTTTTGACTGATCAGAGTGCTTAAACACATCTCTAACTTTAGGCTCCAGCTAAATCCACATCTCTTTGGGAAAGAATAAAATGAACCTACCTTGTTGAGTTCAGATACTAGTTACAGGTATGCATCTTGGTGAAAACCAGTTTGCAAAGGCAAAAGTGTGATTTGCTACAAGTACAATCTCAAAAAGGTGCAAGTAAGATCAGAGTTTTGCTCAAGGAATCTAAAGAGTTTTAAAAAGACTCCCCACACCACTGTCTACACACACGCAAAAAAATCACTCTACAGAAAAGACACAAGGAATACATGCCTCAGATGAAACGCTTTGTAAATGCAACACGTACTAGTTCAGCTCATACCTATGACATTACCTGTCTCATCATGCACTGTAAGAGTCCCCGCATCAGCTTCACAACGTTCTGCAGGAACAAAACAGACCAGTGACACCCTCACAGGGCCAGCCTCATCAGCTGTTACGAACAACATTCAAAAGCGACAAAGTTCACACCCCCTACTAACGTCCTGCCAAAGGTAAAAAAGTACGTATTTGCCCGAAATGCTTTATATGCCTTTTTTTAATATATTGGTTGATTATTATTCCCACTTCCCTATCTAGGAGAACAAATCTTTTCCCAAAGGCCCTTTCTGAACAGTGGAGCAACTCTCTGTGGTCATTCTATCCAGCTAAGGAAGTAAGAGGAATGCTATGTCTTGTAAGAATAATAATGATGATGATGATTTTTAGAGTGACAGATCCGGGGAACACTGGTAGATGACTGCAAGACATTGACATGATTGGAAAACCTGTGGAGCTTCTTCCCCTCTTTATACAGTACAACAGAAAGCAGATGACTAATGCCAAGAAAGGGCCTTTAGGCATACAAAGAGAAGCGCAAGATTTTGTCCTAAACGAAGAAATCAACCCCATCTTTTTATCCAAAAATTATTATAGCCTCAAAATATGATCATGCAAACTGAGTCAAGGTTATTCTGTCACCACTGATCTCCCTGGTTTGAGCAGTACACGTCAGCATAAAATTTACCCAGTGCCTTCAAAACAACAGCAGACACTGACACTAACACTCCCTCACTTCCCATTTAATCCACCTCTACACTCTCACTTCCGATATCCACTTTGCCAGCTGCAGATTATAGAAATTAACTGTGTGAGTTACCTCCCCTTCCAATTCTCCAGCACATGAGTCTTACCAGTTTGGAGATCGTTGCCTTGCCTGGTTTGATCAAACACATCTATACACCATGTACAACTTCCGTGAGAGGACACAAGTGCACATTTCAAAGATTGCTACTTTAAATGGCATGCTTCTCCTTATGGGGAAGAATGGTCTAGCAGATAAATTGCTGCCCTAGGATCCAAGCGACCTAGGCTTGATTTTCTGCTCCATAATACACCTCATGAGGGATCTGAAGGTTTAATCAGAGGCTTGTAAATCTGGGCATAATATCTCTCAGAAGCCTAATTTTCAACAATCGGCCAACTGATGGAAGTTTGACTCCTAAACGTTTTTGTTTTGTTTATATTTTAATTCAGATGTTAGCCTCTCTGTCACCCAGTTCTCCAAATTCTGCTTGCCAGAAGGCTGTCAGAAACACTGCACACCACACGCTGCATGGATGATGCTGTCATAGGAACAAGACACGTTCTCCAAGATGAGAAAACCCTGCCAGATCCTAGACACAGCAGCAATGTGAATGCACCGTTCAAAACCACTACCATGTGAAAAAAACAAACAGCATAACTGGTTTACACCAAACTTTGACATACCTGCTCGAGCTCATAGGCTTTGGCCTTATCCTCGTCCCGGTCTGCATTCTTCCGATAAGCCATCCCCAGCCCCCAAACGGCCAGGATGCTGTAGATGTTGTCCCGTACCCAAGCATCCTTATGGTCCGTACCAGCTGAAAGCAGTCCTGTAACTGGATTCTAACCATGGCAGAAAGAATAAAGAACAAACATTACTACCTGAAATCCCATCTATTAAGACGCGCCGGTTCTTTCCATAACAAAGGGTAACAAAACAAAAGAGAGAGCCAGAGATGATTTCACACTGATTGCACACTGCGGCTGCTCGCAATTTCGCAACAAAAGTGAGGTCCCATCTTTCTTTCCCAAACTCACACAAGTGAAATGCAAAATTTCTTTGAACACAGCAGGATATAAAGCTTATAGCGTCCAGCTGGGCATCATCATCCACACAGGATTATTAGCTGAGTCACTGAGAGAAATTTGAAATATATTGGGGAAATAGGAATTTAAATTTTACATATTTGTAAGGAAAAGATGGTACTGAGTTAACATCAGAAACTGAGTGTGGGGTCTATTCTCTATGTAACTGGTCTGCAGCATAATCTCGAGGAAGTCAAAAAACACTACTTCCCTCCTAGGAAATTAAAAAAAGTATTTCTATTTATTTACCTGCTTGGTTTATGACAGCTAAAGCATGAATGCATGCAAAGCCTTTTTATATCCTCCTTTGGAAAATGTACAGAAAGACAGATTCTGATGGTGTTGAATCGCAGCGCTGTCTAAAAACCAGCACACTGAGTAATCTCCTGCATCCCAAATACTCCATTAAATTTTTCATTTCATCATTAATTCCCATTACTTCATTATCATTAATTTTTAAGACCGTCTTTCTCAGCTGTATGTTCTTCACTAACAAAGAAATGAGGTAGAGAGGCAAAAGGTCGATAGAGGTTTCAATCAAATCAAGACTTTACAGCCCATTTCAGTGGGGTGAACAAAGACCAGTTGCCAGGGCTGGTGTGACAAGGGGCAAAGATTACAGTAATAAAGAAAAGTCAAATTAAAAAGAATACACACACCAATTCTTCATTTCTGCCACACAGCGGTTCGCTCAACTCCTTCTGTAGTTATTTTTAAGAAGTAAGTTTTGAGGGGGAGGAGCTTCAATTACAATTTCCTGGGCTTCGCATGTGACAGCTGAACAAGACACAGGTGACAGCCTGACACACGACTGGGCACAGTTAGTGCTATTGTTATGGTTTAAATACAGCAATGTCTAGTGGCTCACTGAAACATGTAGTTCTGCTGAAACAGTCCCTCAGCATGGTCTTCACAAACCAAGTAACAACATCTATTTATATGTAAAGTAGCACATATGAACCCAAAGAGCTTAAAAAACTTCCTTCTGAACTTGAAAAGTCAAACCAAGGAGTAACAGAAAAAGAGTAAGTGAGCAAGCAATGAAAGGCGACCCCGCTCCCCGTTCAGCGCTGCGTCTGCGTGGCAAAAAACAGGATCTTGAAAGGCAGACCACATATTCCTAGTATTTTTAAAGTGCACTTTGTTTCCCTCCTCCCATACAGCACAACAAATGTGTATGTACCTGCAGCCCTGGTTTGACAGAGATCGCCCTGCTGCCTGAGAAATGATCATTTTGGTTTGTTTTTCCCCACCCTCCATGCTGGGCTGGCTGCCAGTCGCAAAATAAAAATGCCTCCATGTACCAAGATGGAAAACCCAGAAAAATGGCCCATGCAAGACTTTAAAAGACCATTCAGCCCCCAGGGAGGGACCTGCCTGCCTTCAAGAGGCTGCATTAAACGCATCCAAGTGTGGCTATCCCCCATTCCAGCGCCTTTGGTTCCCCTACCAGAAGGTCCCAGCTCTTGGGGCACACTGGGGCTGGCTCTCATGGACTGACAACACATTAATGTCTTTCTTCATGCACATTCAGAACGTTAGCAAAAGAACACAATCAGTTAATTAATATTTTTAAGTTTTTTTTTTTTATAAAGTACTTACTCTTAAAAATTACAATTCTTTTCTTCTGTTACGTGCTGACACCATATGAAAAGTACAATCCCTACCACGTGCTAAAGAACCTGAAGAAACACTGAGTGTGCTTAACCCCAAAGATGTCAAAGGGATTTTAGCTCAGCTAGTACTTCAAAGCACCACAACTACACAGCGATCACTAATTGGACTAGAGGGTCTCATCCTGCAAATCACACTGCACATACAGATCCACAGAGCAAAGAATTTTACCAGCACCCACGGTCTCTGCAAGCTGAGAGCACTGCAACAGAAAGCTGATTGCTGGACTAAGACTTTAAATTGTTGTATCATGCCCAATCCTATTTTTAAGTCTATTTATTAGTCTGGAGACAAAAAAACCCAAAACACAACACCAGTTCCTACAGGGGACCAGACGCTAATAAGAACTTCGGCAATATAGGCACAAAAATAGTGTGGTTCTAACCAGAGCAGCATACAAAGCCCACATTTAGCATCTTGCTGAAAATCTATTTAATTTGCATCTGTTTCATTGATCCATCAGATGAAAACTGATGTAAGCTCTAGCAAAGTTTGCAGATAGATTGCCTGCATGGAAGCAGACGTAACACAACTGGGGTTACCCATAAATGTATGCCAGATGTGCTTTTCCTATCAGCTCCATATGCTTTTCTCTTATAGTACCCTAGCAATACTTAAAACGTATATAGACATTAAGTTTTGCTATTTTATGGACATATCTTAAGATTCACATTTTTTCTTATCTCATTCAAATTAACAAGTGTAATAAGCAGCTGAGAACAGCCTTCTGGTGATGCTCTTCAGTGCTTGTTCAGCTACAGCATCGAAGCATCCCTCCGGCCCCTGTCCCCAGGGGCACGTGCAATAGCTGGCAGACCCCACACCACAGCAGGTCGGTATAACTGATGCAAGGGCACAAGACCGGAGCCAGTAGTTTGGTCTTAGCCTCCTTGTACGACTTTAACAGGATTGTACCTATCACCATGCATGCTGCAGGGACTGATCAGCAGAATGCAATGCTTGCAAAACAAGAAAAAGTTTGCTACGGATCCAATCCTGCAAGGTGCCGCACACAGAAAACCGTCGACGCTGGTGAGGGGTCTGGACCTGTGCTTTGAATGCATGTCTGCCTGGTAGCGTGTATATTCTGAACTAAAATTTGCCCCTGAAATGACATTGATTTAGAGTGATTGGAATGAACGCAAGATCAATTGCTGCTACTGAGAAACCCAACCCCTGGTGTACTGAACACCTTATCAAAGCAAAACGTTCCTGAGCACACTACATGTTCTCCCTGCTGCATCCTTACGAGAGCGAGCTCATTACTGCCCTCGGTCAGAGCACACCAGCTGAAGTGCCAAGTGAAGCAGCAGCCCAGCCCAGCCCAGCCCGCCACAGGCTGTTCTGCTCCCAATTTAGACAGGGCTGCACGTGGCCCAAAGACAACCATCCTAACTTGCCCAAGTAAGCACTGCATCTTTTCACCCAGCTGAGCAGAACACTTTCAATCTATTGCAGTGGAAAACCATAAAGAGTATAGAAATAGAAACCAAATCTAGAAATCCACCTTGCAGCATCTCTCTGGGCCCTCTTGTGATATCGTTGTCCCTCTGCCTTGCTGCTAGCCTGTGACTTGCTTTCCACACACAGAAGAAAACTTATTTAGCTCCTTCCCCCAGCTCTGAACTCTCCCCAGCATTGAGCACTTAGCAGAAAAGGCAGCACTGAGTCATGAACATGCATCCAAGCACTGTAAATAGCAATTACAAAATTCTGGGTCACTGGTATAAACTCCTATATTACCATTAAGTTACCCTTTTTATTATTGTTAACTATTAATCCCATTAAGGCACAGCTTTCACAGGGCATGTTTGATCTCTGGATCTGAGAGGCTCCACCTCTCCTCTAATGGAGGCTATTATTGGCATCCTCATCCTATAAACATGGAAATCAAGGCAGGCACTGAAGCCAGTGACTTGTCCAAGGTCATCCCGCAGACAAAAGGCAGAGACAGGAGCACAACTCAAAGCATCTCCTGCACCCCAGCACAGCGAGAGAGCAAAATTATCTTCTCACACCACTTATACCATGTTCTTGCATTTGTTTCTAATGAGTTTACAATAATTCGTACACAAACATTAGTTCACAGGTGTCTGGACCCTGTGCCAACAGTCAGTGACAAAAATCTTACCAACCTAAGCGGATTTGGGTCCTAACCTCTTCTTTCACTGCTTTCCAGTTTCTCATAACTGTCGGCAACTAAGTATATTTGGGAACTGATTTGTGCAAAAACCCCTGTTGCTCTCATCTTTATGTACTGGACTGTTTTAACTGAAGCATGACACTGAAGAGCACACTGTGAGTCCTCAGAGCCCGCCTGGGTGACACAAGCGCATTAAGCAGAGAGCACAACGCTACATGCTTATGCATATGTGCTGGCCAAAAAACACAGAGTGGGCAATACTTTTTCTGTACCAGCCCTGACATCTTCGTTCTTTTAGCGCTCACATATGCAGGCAGCCCTGCGCGACAAGCCAGAGCCCCAAGCAGCATTAACACCGGGAGAAGTCGCTCCACTAAAACCAACGCTGCACAAGCTGCGCCAGCAGCAGGTTGGGGATGGGAATCTCTTCGATGCGCACCGCTGCACATACGTACCGCACAAAGCACGCACGCCAGCCACTGCAAACCCTGTTCTGTCCTGGATTCACACCGAGCTGACAGACATATTTCAAAGGCCCTGCTAGGGAGCTCCACGTTACTGGGAGTTAATAGTGTTACGGGCATGCACATATATATATAGTGTTACGACAGGTGGGTGTGTATCATATGACCATAAACACATTCTATACACGGTGTTGTTGTTTGCAAGCTCGGACTTGCCGTATTTTCCGCGTATCTTCCAACGTACGTTTATATAAGCGGCCAGCGAGCACCCCCAAGGATCCCCACCGCCTCAGCTTTTCCCGCGCTCCTCCTCAGGCGGGGAAAGGAGGAGATACGGAAAGGAGGCCATGCGCCGGGGAGAGGAAGTATTTTCTTCCACCGGCCCCGTCGTGCCCCTTGCGCAACCAGGCTGCGGTCACCGTCCCCG